CCGTCGCGATTTACTCCAGTTTTCTCCTCCTCATCACATGATCAAAGAATGTAGATTGTCTCCTTTTCATGTGAGCAGTCAGTCCTCTTCGCAAGTCAGTTTCTTTTGTGACATCTTCATTACTTTTTCTTAAAAAATCTGTCTAGGTTATTCTCATCTTTCGTTTATCAAACCACATCTCCACAGCTTCCAAATACTTTTTCACTAATTGACCAACTGCCCATGATTCAGAAAACTGACCACAAACAGAACAACGAGAAACAATGATTTACCTGTCCAACTCGTCATGAAAACTGCTGACCAACAGTCTTGTTTCTTTGAGCTCGCTGGACGCGCTACTGTAGCAGTTAGAGTAGTCGTTGATTTTCATGCAGGTGATGAAGTTGGATACTGGACGCAGGCGGTCAATGATTGCTGGGGATTGAATTAGAGTTAAAGGTTTTTGGTCCCCAGCACTTTCAAAAATATGTGTATGTCCCCCCCCCCTCCCCCCCCACTCAGCTAGAGCCATCTAAATAACATCATGGGCCTCTGGGCAAATCAGTGGGCTGGTGCCCCTATATACGTGTAAATCACAATTTTAACAATAATAAACAATCAAAAACAATTATATTATTGCAATTAAACAAAACTTACAGTAACATTGAAAATAATGTATATTTTTGTATACTTCGGCTATATTTATATTTTAAAAGTTGCGTTTTACTTTAATTAATTGCAAAGTTTTTGATCAGATCCTCAGACTTATCGTATGTACACATTTGCTTCTGTACTGAATAGAGATAAGGCATCCAGTCTGAATAGATGCACTGTTGTTCTAATGAGATGTTTTAATATACTTCAACCAAGAAAATAAACTCCCAGCTCCAAGGCTACTGAAAATGTGGTGCCCCTTCCCTTTGTAATGCCCTAAGCATATGTTTACTGCCTTTAATGATTAATCCGGCCCTGTTCGACTGTCTCTGCCAAACGACCATTGCTTGTTGAGAAATGACTGCGTACAAATATGTTTTGTTTGGTAGAGAGAGGAGAGGATATTACAAGTCTGCATGGGACGACTCTAGGCGATAATAATGAATGACGGACTAGATGACTGCTTAGCAACTCCGCGCTTAACAGCCCGCGTGAGTTCCAGACCAGAAAAGCGTGGTGGATATGTGGAGAAGGGGTTATGGACGTAGTTTACAGTGAACCGTAGGCTGGATAAAACAGACAAAACGAGGAATTTTTGGGGAGTTTGTCAGAGAGACTTTGATGGAGACATGTGATGTTTTGACTGTTAGATGTTGACGAGTCTGACTTAAGTTAGCGACAGTTAGTTTGTGATAACGTGCTAGACTGATGGATGTTATAACAACAAGAATGACATTCTTTTGTATAATAACCTATGGATCCAGTGGTCGTGGGCTCCAAACCCTAAAGATGGATATTGATTTCACTAACCACATGGCGCCAGGAAACTGTACTACAGAGCTGCTGAGGGTCTTAGAGTCTGTGAAGGGATTCGGCAGTGTATCTTTTTCCATCTCAGTCTGTCTCTCTGTATCTCTCTCTCTCTCTCTCCCCCACCCCACCCCCCTGTGTGTGTGTGTGCGCGCGTGTGTGTTTGTTAGCAGAGGTTATCCTGAACATAAAGACACTTCCAAGGAAAGGAAAACATGTCTTACCAGCTTTGACACGGTAGTTGAGGGTATTGCCTTGACAAAATCCCCCAGGTTCCTCTAGCACCGCCAGTGTTTGGTTGACGTTGTGGCACTGCGCCACTTCAGTGCGGAAAGAGTTGCGAGCTTGCGGTGCCACCACACTATTCGGATCATCAGAAACATGGACAATACTTCACTATAGTGCGTTTCAAAACTCATGCCGGTACACTTTCACAAATATCTTGGAAACTTCTTACGGATCCACATGAATGTTTGCATGTGCCGTAACATTTCCTATGTCCTTATGATTCAGTAATTTACAATTGCACAGGTGCTGCGGTTTTCTTAAAGCGGTGAATTTTTTAAAATTTGTTTGTTTGTTTGACTAACAATTTTTGTACCATTAAAATCTGTCCCTTTATCCGTTCTATGCATCCCGTCCAGCACCTTTGGCTTCTCTCATCAACGTTCGATTTAGGGTTTCTTTTGGACATCCTCACTTCACCAGCCCTTTTATTTCCAATTTTAGTGTCTGTTTTGTGATTCTCTGTTCGTTTGTTCTCAGGATGTGTCCCATATAACAGCCATCTTTTCTGTCTTATAATTATCGCTACCAGTGATTGCCCAGACATTCTTTCGCCCTTCTTGAATTCCTTTCATTGCAACATTCAACATTTCCCACAGGTATTTGTTAGATAGACCTATCACAATAGAAAAAAAAGGTACTGGTGATAGACAATTATAAACGGCATATTGGTAGAGAAAGGCGTCAGAACCTATAACTTCGAGCTCAAAAGGTGACAATCATACAAGTATACTAGTTCAAAAATCACCTGACAATGATGTTGATGCTGTTGTCGATGATGATGTTCTTGATGATGATGATGTTATTATTGTTGGTGTTGGTGGTGTTGGTAGCGGTTATTTTTTTTTTTTTTTTAATGAGGATGATGAACATTCTAACAACTCTATAATCGAATGCATAATTTTCAGAATTAGGAATTAACGATTTGTGCAGTTTGCGTCTTTCCCGACAATAGTGTTATACTGTGCTTTGAAGAGGCATGGGACTCACAGCCAGTGGCGATGAAGAGGCATGGGACTGACAGCCAATGGCGATGACGAGGCATAGGACTAACAGCCAATGGCGATGACGAGGCATGGGACTAACAGCCAATGGCGATGACGAGGCATGGGACTAACAGCCAATGGCGATGACGAGGCATGGGACTGACAGTCAATGGCGGTGAAGAGGCATGAGACTGACAGGCAATGGCGATGAAGGGGCATATGACTCATAGCCAGTAGCGATGGCGAATGTGGCTAGCAAGACCCGCCCAGGTTAAGACAGTTAAGACTCATCAGTTTATAAGTCACATAGGCTCGCGCTCACTTTTGCCTTTACGTTCTATCTGATGTACTCTGTTTTAAAACATTTGTGGCTGGAATGTTGATGGGCAGGGTTTTCCTTCTTCTCTTGAACGTCCTCCTGCCCTCAGTTCATTTGTTTCCCATTTACGTGCCTGTATTGTGATTCTTTTCCCCCGTTATCTCAAAATATACTACAACATCTCCATCTTTATCTCGTAAAACTGTTGACACCTAACAGCTGTGCAGATGTTGCTTGGATTTCAAGTCCTTTTCAAAATCACCCTGTTAAATATGCCACTTTTCATGCACGTATTTTTCTTCCATATCTTTAGTGATTCTCCAATTTTTACTGTTATATGACAGGTGCATTACTACATAACTACACATATTGCAGCATACAAATGTCGCTTGTTACACTGTAGTGCTTATCATGGAAGTCTTAGATTAACACTGTGATCCTTTTGCTTACACGACACAGGATTCCCCATCCTAATTCTGATCGCTTCCCCACGTTTATAAATAAGCACCGGATCTATGGCGGCGTCCGTGGCTAAGGCGTTGCGAGTCTGACTCGTAATATAACGTACCGTAATCGAAACCTACGTGGGCTGCGTGGATTTTTATCGTGGTATGGGACGTCGCAGGTCGACCCAGCCTCAAATGGGTACCAGGATGGGCTGTCCTGGGAAAGTAAAGACGGCCGGCGTAATGCTGACCACATTACCCACCGAGTGCCCATTGGTCTGTAATAATATGGGTGCTCTTCCCATATGCCCGATGCGCCTAAGGGCGTGTAAAGGGATCTTTACTTTTTTTACTTACCGGATCTATGAGTTACGTGCCCTTAATTTAGGAGATGACGTGCCCGTAATTTAGGAGATGACGTGCTGTAAGAGAATTAGGTTTTCCTGTCGAATCTGACACGCTTGCAGAATTTTCACTCATTTTTACATATAGTAGGGGAGCTATCTCACAGTGAGACGTAGTGTTTGTAGTAGGTTTGGGTGTATATTGAGGAGGGAGTATGTCACGGCTGGCGTTCTATTCGACCAGTGCTGGCGTCTGCCTTTACAATTGAATGTACAACAGTAAATAGTAATAGCAAATTAACATATTTGGTTACCATAACATAAATGTCACCTGCAGATTTGCTTGGCGTAGTCTTCTAAATATTTGGCTGTATACATTTCTGGGATGCTGTGCGTTGTTGACGATTCACTGGCAGATCGTACATCTTTCCAAACGTCAGCATACATGAGGAATTGCTGGTAGGCATCATCGCAAAACTGCAGTTCTTAAAAGGAGAAGAATGCAACAAACGTCAATATTAGACATCGGTTTAAAACTGAGTAAATTGGAGGTCTCTTTTCATACCAGGGGAGCTTTGGTGAGTAACTGATTGACCTTCAACTCTACCAACCAGGACATCACACTTAGCGACAAAGACCAGGTGTCACAAAGTGCCACCATTCGGATGAGGATCACCCGGGGACAGGTCCCAGAAACCTCGTTCAACCCATATGTTGGCTTATATTAATACCCCGGCAACAGCCAGGGTAGGGCTTAAAAACAAAATTGCATCTGACGTCGGGTCACAGTGTTATCACCCAGATAGCAGCTTCGGTAAAATGGTTCTTGATCCAGGTTATCTAACTCGGTGGCTCGTGGTTTGATTTGAGGTAAGCTGAGTTTCAAGAACTGACATCACAGCACTCGGAACATTCCCATAAGCGCTCCTTCCCCATCTTCAGAAGCCAGCGTAGAGCGCCAACTCCTAGGGTAACAGTAGCAGTCTGATTATATGTCAATCTTGTCTTTCATCTCAATGTGAAGTGTCCGTCTTACCACATGCTTTTGTGAAGAGAAGTGGGTCTTTTGTTTGTTTCCCCACTATGAGGCCCCGGAACCGACACGAAAAACTTTAGAATCTAAAATATAAGACACCTGTAAATTCTGCATTAAGCACGACAAGACGGCAAGGTATGACAGCAACAACATGCTAGTAGTTTACCACAGACACCACTCCCTAGGACAGTCAGGAAAACTGTCAGCAAAAAATGCGCATAATTCATGATGGTGGACTAGCAAAGATGTAGACACCGCACATTTCTGAACCACTTTTGGATAGGATGTATCCCTCAGGTTCTGCGTTGTTTTTATAACCAGACTTCTCCACGGGAAGTTTGATGGGGTGGGGGTGAGGGGTATGAGTGGGGGGGGGGGCCCTTAGGGTTGGCTTAACAATGGGGTAGTGGGTTGGCTTAACTATAGGCGAGCGGGTTGGCCTAACGTTAGGTGTAGGATAGTGTCATTTAAGAGCAGGATTCTGTCACTGGGTGGCTCACTGTTTTCGGCTCTGTAGCTATTATGCAGACCGTGAACTTTGGGACTCCACTTAGTTAATGACAAGGTAATTTTGTCGATTTTTCGTGTCAGTGGTGTTGTGTTACTGAACTGGATATTTAAGCTAGTGGACGGGTGGGTAGTAGTGGTTATACCCTCGTCCTTGATCGCTCTGTGTGTGTGTGTGGGTGTGTGTGTGTGTGTGTGTGTGTGTGTGTGGTTGTTTGAATTAATTGCTGCGTTTGGCTTTCATTGCAACAACAGTTGGTGAAATTCTTCTACAGAGGCTGTTGGGTTTGTGTGTGTGGTTGTGTATAATAACGTGACATGTATTGACTGGCATTCGTAGAAAGAAGTCGAGAGATATGACATACTAGGTAACATAACAGTTGAAAGCTATAGTTAGAATGCCAGGAATCGAGCCTGTCACCTCCAAACGACGACAGCACCTCGCTGAAAAAAAAAAAAAACAAGTGTGCGAAGACCACACAGAAATGGACATTTAGTTATTTGCGTTACCGCATTAGCTAGACGCATGTCTGCCGACCCGAAGGCTTGGGTTCGAATCCGTACTAAACATTTGTATACATGTATTATGTCCACCCCAGGTCCAACCATCCTAACATGGGTACCATCCAAACAATCATGTTTCGACGTTCTCGGCAGACGATCAGCCACTCTGTGGGGGAGGGGGGGGGAGAGAGAGAGAGAGAGAGAGAGAGAGAGAGAGAGAGAGAGAGAGAGAGAGAGAGAGAGAGAGAGAGAGAGAGAGAGAGAGAGAGAGAGAGAGAGAGAGAGAGAGACAGACACTGGTCTAAATCAGAGTAAAACCAGGTGCAATGAAGTTAGTTAGCCCTTTAACTTTTTAAATTCTTTTTGTTTTAACTCTTTACTGTCTCAGTACTTGCTCTAGAAAGTTTGAGGATGGGTGGTTATGGCTGGCAGAAAATAAAGACATTAAAGACAGTAAAAATTTAGAAAGAGAACAGACCAACCACTTCAAAAGGAGACGATCTATAATCTTTGGTCGCTTCATGAGAATGAGAAAAAGGAAGTATATCGTGACAGTGGTAAAGTTGGAAGGGGAAAGAAGCAGAGGGAGAAACAGAGAAGATCGTGGACAGTGTGAGACTTTGACATGGAAGATCATCTGTGTCAGCAATTATTTAAAGCACCCGAGGCAGAGGATGTGAAAAACAACAGACTACCAACGCCTTTTTCAATTCTAATATCCAGTTAGTTAATTAGCTAGCTAGTTAGTTAGTTAGTTAGTTAGCTAGCTAGCTAGCTAGTTAGTTAGTTAGTTAGTTAGTTAGTTAGTTAGTTAGTTAGTTAGTTAGTTAGTTAGTTAGTTAGTTAGTTAGTTAGTTAGTTAGTTAGTTAGTTAGTTAGTTAGTTAGTTAGTTAGTTAGTTAGTTAGTTAGTTAGTTGGGTTATCATCATTGCCCTCCGGACATGTACATAGGTGCTCAGATCCTCCCCCCAGTATGAACCCCAACGTCCGATGGCTAATAGTACCCGTTCTATGTTGATTAACAAGTCTTCTGGTGTGCTTCTCGTTTTTTGCTATGCCGATCTTAATTCCGAAGTCTGCCATTCTGGCGAGTGATGTGGATTCACTGCCACCAAAGTCCTCTATCCTTCCCATTTCTCTAAGGGCATTAATAATAATCCAGTCAGTGGTCCGGAGCGGAAACAGGGAGAACAACTAAGGCAATTACTAATTAACTACACACATTCATTAACTCCTGCCTGCGCAAGATGGAGGAAATCAAACAGTATGATAGAAATCACTCCTGTTGAGCTTTTGGAGAGAACTAAAAAAGTTGCAGTGGGCACAGAGATGAAGAAAAACGCTGTTATTGGATAGGACAAGTTGAAAATACCGGAGAACAAAATAACTAGAATGTCTTTGCACTAGAATCCTCAGGTGCATAGAAATAAAGGAAGAAAAAAAAATACACAGAGAAGGGACATAGTGAAGTAAAGAGAAAGGGGAGGACATGGAGTAACCTGCATACAATAGCGAGCGACTTGACATGAGGTGGTCGAGGGCCTTTGCTCTATAGGGAGATAGAAGGCAGAAGAAGACCAGCACTTCACTACATGGACTATCAGAAGAAGAAAAAGGGCGCTTCTACTGCGGATAAAGGCCTACTTAGCTGATGTGGTGTGTTTGACTTGATCACATACGTGATTTAGCTGCACAGGGTATAACTAAATATAATGTAAGCTCTTTGTGAACTATATAAGAGCTCACGTGGTTTAGCGGCTAGATGCTCGCCTGCGGATTCGAAGACCGTTGGTTCGAGTCCTGATCAAGCCGGACATTTTCCCCTTCAAAAATGACCTTGGTATTCAGGTCGACCCAGCCTTGAATGTGTCCTATGTATAGTCCTAGGAAGTAAAGGCGACTGGTATAATGTTGACCATATTATCCACAGAGGGCTGATTGCCCTACAAAACATAGTTCTTCCCCTTTATGCCCAAATACGCCTGAAAGCATTGAAAAGTGTCCCTTATGAGTTCAAGGATGAGATATCTCACTGACTGCAATTTCTAGTATGAAGATTTACATGAAGCTAATTCATAAGGAGCTCAGATAATGACGGCTCATAAGATTCACTAACAAACTCCAACACGAACAGTTAGCCTCTGTACCTTTGATTTCCGTTTGTAACAACGGAATATAATATAAAAAAAAAACACTACGAAGACAGAGACAATGGTGATAGGAAGACATAAAGACAATTTAGAAATAAAATTAAAAAACAACACACTGAGATAAACAGAGGAATTTAAGTATTTGGGAGCAATTTTCACATCCGACGGAAAACTGGGCAGAGAAATTAGTTCCAGATGTGCGAAAGCTAATCCAGTAATTGGTCAACTATCTCCCTTGTTGACACACAGGCAGATACCTCAGAGTACTAAAGTGAATCTTATCAGAACTATTTTTTGGCCAACACTATGCTATCAATGCCAAACGTGGACACTAACATCCTCCAATGAACGTAAAATTGTGACAACAGAGATGAAATGCCTTAGAAGAGCTGCAGAAGTTTCAAGGAAAGACAGAATACGAAATCATGAAATCAGACGAATGCTAGGAATAAAGTCAGTCTTACAGGTCATCAAAGAACAACAAATGAAGTGGTTTGGACACCTAACAAGAATGCCCTGGTACTATCCGCTACTGCGATCCACACTGAAACATTACAACGGGTATAGAGCGAGTGGAAGATCTCGGAAAATATGGAATGATGGCATTAAGAACAGCCTTACAGAAATGAACATCAGTCTTAATAGTGCTCTTGACAGAGCTCATCAACGAACATTACATCTCCCTGCGACACTTCCATGAGGTACAAGGTGGAAGAGAAGAAGAAGAACGGAGAGATTATGTGCTTATCACCGATAATAATGACGTCACTCTAGAAACGATCAGGATACTAAAATAATTATCTGGCCCTTGAGCACATTTCTGGAGAGCAAGATGGTATGAGCAACACACAGCTGATACCAGCCAAAAAAACTGTGTTATTCTGAAAGTGCAAATAAGCAAACTAAATTACCATTTCCGCACCCTCAACGTATCTGACATATTGTGCTAGAAGTAAATTTGGTTTTGAAAAGACAAACTGGCACTTAATGGATAAACATCCCGCCAGCTGCGTTTGCTTTTCATGTCATTACCTGGTACTTATTTTGACCTGGGTCAAACTAGTTCTCAGCATTCGCCGGTTTGAAACTCCGGTGGGCCTTTCTAGTTGTTCATCTACATTCAAGACTGAAATCTAGTTTTGTATGAAGACCGTCGGTTCCTTTTGGGAGGAATCGCATGGAAATTGTCTTTTTCAAAATGCTTTATGGGGTTGAAGGGGCAGTGGGTCTATTCTTTCCCTCCCCCAGTGGGGCTTCGGAACCCACACAGAAAGATATTGGAGCTAAAATAAAGTTTACAAAAACGCTTCCCCTCCCCCCCCCCCCCCCACCCTGCTTGATTGCTCTGCGGAAAAATAAAATCAACCAGCACCCCCAAAGGGGAGAGCTGTAGGTTATAATTGTGACTAGGTTTATGTGCGCCATATAGCATGGCGAGCAAATGGGCGACCCTGTCGTCGATTCGATAATGACAAATGTATGTGGCCGCCAACAGTGAATAGTCCGAGAATGCCAAGGGCCGCGACTCAAGCATATTAGATGAAACTGTGTTGATAGTTAAGTCCCCTAGATGAAATGTCTTTAAAAAAAAAACCAGAAGTAAAGGACCCTTTTCCACGCCTTTGGGCGTGTAGGGCTAGACCTCTATTTTTATAGACCAATCGGCAAAGATGAGTGATGATGTCAGCATTACGCCGGCCGCCTTTACTTCCCGGGACTGCACCCAGTACCCACTCAAGGCTGGGTCGACCTGGGAGTCAAGGTCATTTTTGAAAATAGTCCGGCTCCGCCAGGGAGCGAACCCACGACCTTCCGATCCAAGGCGAGCTTCTAGCCGTTCGGCCACGGGAACTCCCAGATGAATTGTCTACCTGGGAAAAAAAAGAACCAGGGGAAGATGTTGAACACATGACGCACCCAGTGCCACTTGGTCTACAATAGGATGTAATTACTTTTATGTGCCCAATGCGCCAGTAGTGTAACATCGGTCGCTAACCTTTGCTTTTGTTGTTGTTGTTGTTTGGTGTGTCTTATTAAAACAAACAAACTGCAAGTTAAAAGAAAA